TTATAACAAAAGAATTTAATTGCGTTTATATATCCTTATGTTATACATAATTGAAATATAATTCATTATAAAAAATATTTAGAAATTTTGCAATAATCAAGTTTCTTACGCGTACATCTCTGTTTTTGTCAACTGCTTACAAGAATAAGGAGTTTACATAAATGTGTGCGAGTTTTATAAAGTCTCTCATTTAATTGACATGGATTTTGAAGTCATGGCAGTGCCTTTAATTTGTACAAAATCATTTTCAAATATATTTACAAAATATATCGCTTTTATTATTTTATAACCAAAATAATTTGATTAGTGTTTCTTGTCATTTATAAGGCTATCCTCGAAATCCAGCAGTTGCAATTACAAACGTGTATCGAATTTGTTCATACATATTTGTATAACTTGTAACTTTTATGTACAATTTTCTGCTTATGTGATTCTTAAAAATGTTATATTTACGAATATAAAATGTTACCTTCAAGCAAGATATTTAGTTTATCCAAATATATCTATTTCTGCAATGAAATTTCAATATACTTATATAAATTTACGGCACTTAAGCAGTCTTTAAAGACAGCATTATGTCTTTTTATTTCTCTAATTATACGAAGAAAAATAAATTTTGTAAATATTCGTACAATATGTATTATTCATACACATAAAAAATCAGTGGCATTGCACGATTTTCAATTTGGAAAAAAAAAAAAGTTAATTAAAAGCCAATTTCATATGAACTATGACACTTGATATTCTGTTTGGTATAATATGTGCAAGCACTTAAAAACTAATGCAATATTGCTATGTAAAAATAGGAATGCATGGTAAACTAACATGCGAAATTTTTCTTATAAGATTAAGTTCAATATTCCCCGTAGAAAATTACAGCCAGTAAATTTTGTTCAAGATCTGTAACACTAAGATTAAATATAAATACATTTTTTATAAATTGGAACGAAGTCTAAGAAGTCAAGCAGTGTCAATGACGATAATTATTATAAACGAATGAGATAATCAGTGATGAATTTTCTATAACTTAATGATAGGAATTCATCATTTATTATTTCAGCGATTAAAGTATGCACTTTCAAGTATGATGTAAAAATTTTCAGATCTAATGTACATTCTAATGCTAAGATTTAAATTTCTTCAATTTTATGTACTCTATCAATTTCGTACAATAAATAATCATTTTATAACTCTTGAAGTATTCTCCTAAGATATTATTCTAATTTCGAAAAGAAAGCAGAGAAACCGCTATGATTATCGATCTTTCAAGCACAATACAAATATAAACGTTTTAATAACGTTTTCGCCTAGAAAAATCGATCGAGAGTTACGATTAACAGCCAAAACTCCTAATAACCAGTTATGCATTGTTTAAAATTTAAAAAATCGAATTTTCCGTGGACCAAGTGAAACCGTACAACGGGTATAAATTATTTCGCGCGGGAAGAGTTTTGGTCGTTAAAGTATTACACATTCGCAGCACTGCTGCGTGAAGTATATACAATCTACAACACAGGAATCGTTATCGGGTTGAGTGACCGGTTTCCTTGTCTCCGAATCAATTCCATTCCTCTCGATTTTCGGCTGCGGCTCGGGAACCGGCAGCACTGTCTGCGCGATTGGTCCTGCATTCTCGATAGTCTCAGTATCGGTGTCAGCATTCAATAGTTTACTCGTCACCGGAGTAGTAGGTGTGGTCGGTGTGATTTTACCAGGACGCGCTTCATCTGGTACGTCGTAGTCTACCAGAGGTATAGAGGTCTGCAATGGCGGGGGCGAATCACTGGACATGATGACACTGGAAAAAGAAAACCTCGAACTTAATATTTTTCGAAATTTCGAAATTCACCAAATTATTAAATTCATCAATTTTTCATTAATTTTCATTGATCGATTTTTTGTTCATTTCACATTCGATATATTTATACGACTACCAAGGGAAGACTATAGTATGTGAAATATGGGATTCGTTATATTTTTATGTATGTACTCCATAAGGTTTAACAAAACGATACTCCTGTACAACGCAAGAAGATACGAATCTATTATACATTGAAAATTCTATGGAGGGAAACTTAAGAATACACTAATGACATCTATAAGTTAAATTCAAGTTATAACATGGGTCTGTTGATCTGGTCAACTGGTGCTGTTCTGTTATTCAAGCTCGTCACGCAGTTGACCCTGGTCTCTTTACTATTCAACTCAAGTTAGTCTTACCCGTGCTTCATCGCAATGTACCTAAAAAATAATTACTTAACTCGAAGCATGTTGAATGCTTATCTCTTCCCGGTTAAATTGTATCGATTACTTTACAGCTTGCCGTTTATTGCGATAGCATAATTTATTACTGTACAGAAGAAACGATGACATCGAGGCTATAACCGCGATAATCTTGAATTATACGAATCCACTTCGAGAAATAACCATACGAAATTAAAATCAACAATTATGTAAGGAAATATTTCTGATAATAAAAATTACGACGAGATATATCGGAGACGTTATACGTGAATTTCCATCTATCTCTCTCTCTTCCCCCCTCTTCCTTTTAAGTAGTTGGTAGAAAGTGTAAAGAAGACGTACCACCTAGCTTTCATACACGGTTGCATTCTACTCTTTTCTTCCGACGTCAGAGTGGAATAAAATGATATTTGCTTGGCCATTTCGTTGGAATTCGAATCATGCCACCTCACGTACAAATTTCTCGCCTTGAAATTCGTCTTTCGAATCGTCTATCCTTCTCTCCGTCAACGTTGCGAATAGAACGCCACATCTGTCCTGTTTTTTTTCCAAGTTCACATATCACTGATCACACTTTGCGTTATCGAATTTCATAAATGTCGATTTGGTCAAATGAAGTTTTTAAAACTGAACTTTTTTTTTCCTTTTCTTTGCAGATAAACATGCAATATCTTTGTTATCTCGATAATAATAAAATGAATAATTTAAAGAGAAAATAAAAAGAAAAAATTCATCATATAGAAAACTGAAGTAAATCTTCGAGTTTGAAAAACTAATTTGTACATATTCTAAAAGAACGATCATATTTTATAATGGAAAAGCTAGTTATTTAAAAATGAGACTGAAAAGAAGGGAATATAAGTCGTTAAATTAACGACACTTCCATTCTTGCAGCTAATCAAGACTAATAACTCACGTCAACAGCTTCTATCGATTAAGTACATGCATTGTCCATTGAAATCCATTTGATTCGATAAAATACAATATAACTTCTAACAGTCTACGCACTCACACTTCGAAATATACCAAGTACTACGATATTTATTTAATTACATGCAAAACTACAAAACGGATCACCAAAAACTAATTATTAAACAATTATTATTACGATGAATAAATTTCCATCTTCTAACTGAAATTTTGCTAAGAAAAAATTCTATTCATGCACCGGAAACGTTATAATGAAATTACATGCTTAATTCATTTTATGCTCCATAGAACATTTATTCGCGCCTGAAGATATACCGACGTAAAATACACGGATTGCGTCATGAAAGAAAAACTAGTGGAGTTCAAAAGTTTTATTTGCATCTAAGACGAACAACCATGTTGTTGATTACTATTTCGTCACTGTTTTTACGTTTGCATATTATGTACATAGAAATGATCGATAAAAACTGTCGGAATTAACATATCAGATTTTCGTTCTACTTACGATAGTTCGATAACAGCGATAGTTATTTCAACATTCGAGTAGCCATTGTTCAATAATCGAAAGGAATTATTTATTTGTTTGTATTGAAATATACTTAGAATAATTTAAAATAAATTATTCACTAACATAATGCACTTACTATATTACGACAATAAAACATGAAATAGGAAGTGGTAGAACACTTTAGTTATGTAATTCACAAACCAGATAATAGAAGCACTTATTTAAAAATTTTAATATAAACAAGTATCCATCTTATCTCTTTAAAGAGAAGTCAACATCATGAAAAATTTATCTCATAATTGATTTGCTCATCTATCCGAAATCAATCAGAAAAATATCACTTTGATTTTAATTTTACACAGATTTTTCATCTGACAACTGCACGCACTATTTGCGGATCTAAAGACACTAACTTGATCATAATTTTATAAAATTAGTTTTTATCAACGATACTATAATTACGAAGATTAACAAAATTTATTTAAAGTTCGACGTTTTCATACAGCAAATTATAATATTCGTGATGCTGTGAAATACGAGCAACTCGCACCACTACCGAGAATCCACGTTGAACTGCTTGATCTAACTCCTAATACTCTCCCATCCCGCGTGTACAGTTTTCACGTGTGCGCAGGAGCGTATCCTCTGATGAAAATCACCCTTTTTTTCGCGGTAAAATCGAGAGAATAATTTATCGACGGAAACTCGACGAAATTGTCGAAACATTACCGTCATAGGGTATTACAGAATATTAAACTCTCCTTTTATGGCATATTACGAAATATACGAAACTATAAATATTTTAATATTTTCTATCTTCTTTCTATTATTAAAAAACAACGTTACGACGTTTGTGAAGACAGTTTGTTTATTGATGTTAAAAAACAGAATGCTATTTTATTAACATCCACAGTTATTTTCAATGAAAACCTGATACGCGCGATACCGGTACAACAATATCTGTAAAGTAAAAGGATCTTATTGGGGACAACTCAAAAAGAACGTTCGCCGAATGAAAGTTTCATAAAACCGCAGCCTGCATTAGTATCACTTTTCAGAAATTACATAAGCGAAAAATGTATCATTGGCATCGGGCGTATAAGGAATAAACTGTGAATCTTACGAAGTTATGCGTATTTAGGCCTCAACTATTAACACGTTCAAATTTGTTTTCATAGTAGTACATGTTTATATACAAAGACTACGTAGATATCCTTCAAGAGAAATTATCTCGAAGTCGAAACAAATTGCGTTTAATTTAATATTATCAGTGTATATAATTAAACATGTTCATCAGAACCCCTCGAATTTTCATTATTACAATTGGATGCCACTTATCTCATTGCTACCGCGAAGGGCAATTCACTTACTGGATTAGTTTTCTCATTGAACGATAATTGAATATCAAATACACCGATCTTCGATGAAAATTGTACCATAAGTGACAATAACGAAATCGACCAGTACTGTCGTCTTTGAAATCGTAAAATTTCTCAGAAGAAATTGCACATGAAAAGAAAATTGAAATAACACGCAAACATGTTTTTTGTAAAAGGGACAAATTAAAAATAATTTAACATCATTCCTTTTATTGAAAGCGATCAAACGATTGAACAGTTGAAAGAACGAAAACTAAAGAACCGAATTTCACCGGCAAGAGGCAGGGGTGAGAAAAGAATGCTTAACCTCGAAATCTGGCAAATCGGCTTGCTGAACTTACTCGTAAGAGCCACGCTGTGGCAACGGAATCTTAAAACGCATTACGTCGTGATCAGTGAGATAATTAACGAATCGCACAGCCCCTCGTTTATTCCTGTTTATTTACGTTCACAAATGATCGTACGCGAGACCGAAATTATGCAGCATCTCGACTTAAACGAGTGACAGGCACGCAGGCACGCGAAAGACTGGCAAGAGAAAAGCGAAGCGTTCACTAGGGGGGAGCAGGTAAGGTTGAGACGAAGTTTGACGATCGAACGGCGGTCACTTATTAAGCGAGTGATACAGTAACTTAATAATCAATCTTCTACAAAAATAAGCGCTAATTTAATTGGTTAGAATTGTCGTGAACGTCAATTGGCGAAATTTTTACGACCTATATATTCTTTTATTACCTGGTAATGTTTAATTACTGATAATTATAAAAAATATGTTCAGATTATTTTTACTTACACTTGCGCTGTCAACGTATCATTGGGAATAAATTATTAGAAGAATTAATCTTTTATGGTTGATAAGAATAAGAAACTCAGTCATTATATAATCGAAATGTAATAGTTTTATTAATTAAAGTTGTTTTGCATGCAAGATACTGTGACAGTGAGATAGTGAGCTCAACGCGCACGCGTCGTGAGATGCAATTTTGAATCTATTGGTTAATATAGTTTGTTGTAATTATTGTCAATAAGTGTAAATGTTTTATTTTCATTTTTATTTTTTGTAATAAGTAGTTTAATGAATGATTATATTTGATTTATTTAAATGCTACTTAAAACATAAGAGATTGGATGCGCATTAGCTTTAACCAATGCACCCTTCTTCTTGTCAGTGTACAATATTCCCACTGCTTAATATATTGAGGACCGGATGTATTTTTACCGTCGGCGAACTTTTCTCTCAGTGTGCGGTTATCAAGTTCCTTATTAACTCTAAATAAAACTTACTTGAAAAATTTTTACAAGCTTCAGAAAATAATTATCCAACGTACAAAAATTAATTTCTTAACAAAAAATTAATTAGCTGAAAATGAGCTAAATGAATTGTTTAGGATGAAAATAGTTTTAATCGATTTCTACATGTGTAGAGATAATGATACGTTTATTTTACCACTCGTTTGTAAATATAATGTATTACGTGTATCATTAACTTTTTTTTTAATAAGTATTTTTGTTTCATCTAAGCACGCGTTCTCCTCAGTTTAACTTATTCCATCCTTTGATACACATATAAGCCAGCCAACAAAAACCGGTTTTAAAGCAGGATGGACACCGAACAAAAAACGAAACCTTTCGTGCCAATGTCTCCCAAAAAAGTTCACTAGACAAATTATGATAATACAACTTTTTACGATATTATAATACAAATGCACTTAAATAAATTATTAATAAGTTTTAATTTAACGTTGTATACGTAATTTAGAATTTTAGTTCTATATATATGGAAGTTACAATAGGAAACGAATATTTGCAACTTGAAGTGCCATCTTAAGACATAATTATTATATATACACTGTTGTGTATACACACTGATTTCGTTTACCTTCAAAGATGACAGATTGAATTACTTCTTTACCTCCATGGAAGTCACTTGATACCACAAAGCGTCTGACACGAGATATTAAGATTCGATAAAGGGACAGAATGTTAAACAACAATGCGAACAAACATTTCCATACTCATTATTAATAATAATGACTATACAAAATTATCTAACTAATAAATTTCAAACATTTCCAAGCAACCTACACACGAAAATACACGTGAAAATTTTTCTCAGTCGATAACATTTAATGTTTCATAAAATTTATTTTACTCCCTTATGCATTAAAATATTTCCACATTAATTTAAAAATTAATCAGATTTAATTTGTAACATTATAAAAGTGCCACGAAATTTTTGTTTTAACTATAAATTACCAAAAAATGTATGAGTATTGCCAATAAATACACACCGACACATTCTGGTCTAAATGAAAATCAGTATCCCCTGACAATCACAAACATCGAAGACAAAAAAACAATGAAATATTGATTAAAAAGTGTCAGAAACTTTACCTGTCAGATGTGCCAGGAATCTCTTCCGCGTAAACATCAGCATGCGTGATAATCGTCCCGTTTCTCATCATACCGTAATTGTCACATGACAAAAAAGGGAAGCAACGATAATCCTGAAAGTTAGTTGTCGTTGATGTCTCCACGATTTCTCATCACATTCCTTTAACCACCTCCTTGCCTTGTCTTATTAAATTATGCATATTGTCTCTCACTACACGTTCGCCATTCAAGGTTTTACGCATGCATTCATTGCCACCCCCTGACCTTACGATTTCTATCGTCACCACGCTTTTACAGAAATTTTCACTTTATTCAATTCTGTCTCATTCTGGTGAATGTCATATCACACATAACGATGCTAAAAATTTCCTTCGTGCAAATTAAGTATATGTATTTAACTTATGCGCTTTGAATATCATTGATTACATGAATCATTTAAAAACAGAAATATATATTTAATCTTTCAAGGAAAAAGAATCATTGCAAAGATTCTAATTGAGAATTGCATCGCATCCCAAGTGTTAATACACAATGACAGTACACCGAACAAATCTAACCTCTCCTTTCACTTTAATGGCTCAAGAGCTACTAATAGCAAACGTTTTGCTCTGCTACGGAACCATCGCGTTCAGTATGTATATACTGTAGAGTAGAAACATGACGCACTATTTAGTCTCACCTGAGAAACGATTAAAGTATTAATAAACAATATTATTTCCTTTATTTTGAAAAATGAAGCTTTAAAAGATAAGTTGAATGATAATGTAAATTAAAATGATATATTTTATAAAGCAAATGTATTTGGTAAAAATAAAAAGAGTTACGTTATCGATAAACTTTTTGTATAAATAAACATTTTGAAAAAAAAAAAAATATATAGTTTTGCTATAGTTCTCCTATACTTGAACCATTCTCATATTTATTTAGTATTTGTAAATTCAAAATCTGAAGAACTATAATTTAATGAGCATTATTTAAATTTTATATTTCTTTAAAAAAATTGTAAATGAAGATTTTATCATTTGTTGCGCACGCGTAAAAAATTTCACTGTAGCATCATTGTCTCTTGTGATTGTGTCGTTTGTGGTATAGGAGCCGCTTTCATTTGCGTCTTTTGATTGGATTTAAGCTTCACAACTTACGTGGTATCGCGTGTTTTTTTGTGTTCCAGTAATTATTATTAGTAGTATAGTATTCTAGTAAAAGAAGAGGGAAACTGAGAAGAAACTGAATATGGGTCGCTACAGGAGGTAAGCCATGCATGTATATAGATGCGTGAGAATATATGTTATCAATATGCCCAGTATTTAGCACTGATATTGCACATTTGAAGCAAATGTAATGAAACTGTAACTACTTAGACAACAAAATACAAAAAATTAGGTACAAAATAAAAAGTAACTGAAAAGGGGTCCTAAAAGATTTATAAATGATGTTTTTGCAGTAGTTATAACCTTTTACACCTCCCCATTTTAAGCTTGATTGAAAGTGTTAGTTTACACATAGAATAAAATTTGAAATATAATTTAAGTAATTTAAGTTTCTAGAAAATTTCATATTGAATCTATAATTAATTAAGTCTACTGTAGATTTTATATATTTCAAAAGTAATATATACTTAATTCAGTAATAATAGTAAAAGTATTTGTACAATTATTTCCATAAATCATTACATCCTAAGTTTTTGTTTATAAAATGCATTTTATCATAGAAAAGAATGATAATTTTTGTGTTTTTTGCTTTAGCCGTAGTCGTGATAGGGATAGGAGACGTAGATCTCGCAGTAGATCTCGTAGCAGATCACCAAGAGACAGAAGAAATTGGGGTGGCAGTGGAGGTAGAGATCGAGGTGGTGGTAGAAATAGCCGTGGACAACCTGGAGCAAATTTAAGAAAACCTAGATGGGATTTAAGTCGATTAGAACCTTTTAAAAAGGATTTTTATGTACCACATGAAGCAGTTCAAAATCGTGATCCACGTATAGTGGAACAATACAGAAGTGAAAAAGAAATTACTCTAAAGGGAAAAAGCATACCTAATCCTGTATTTACCTTTGAAGAGACAGGTTTCCCAGACTATGTTCTGAAGGAAATTAAGTAAGTATTTTGAAGCAAATAATTTTGTTCAAAGTAAGAATGCTCCAAATGTACTAGTTGCAAAATTATTTTACAATGATGATATTAGAATTTGTTTCTTAAGTTTAGAACAAGTATCCAGTATGTGATGATATAGTACATCGTCAAGAATATGTCAGAACTTAAAACTTGCTTATTCTGGAAACTTAACTTTCATCAGATCAAGTAAGAATGGAGCTAAAATTGTATTTGAAGATTTTAAATGAAATTCCTATGAAATGTTAAAATTGTTAGGATTTTAAAACAATAAAAGTATGAATTGTGGATTATTTAGTACATTATAAAATAATTGTTATTGTTTATAATTTTCAGACGTCAAGGCTTTACTGAACCTACATCAATACAAGCACAAGGTTGGCCAATTGCTCTAAGTGGGAGAGATATGGTGGGAATTGCATCAACTGGTTCTGGAAAAACATTATCTTACATATTACCTGCTATTGTTCATATTAATAGTCAACCTAAGTTAGGTCGAAAAGATGGACCTATTGCTTTAGTATTAGCTCCAACAAGAGAGCTTGCTCAACAAATTCAACAAGTAGCTGATGATTTTGGTCATTCTTCGGGTATTAGAAATACTTGCTTATATGGCGGAGCACCAAAAGGTGCACAAGCCAGAGACTTAGATGGTGGTGTAGAGATTGTTATAGCTACACCAGGTAGATTACTAGATTTCCTTGAATCTGGGCGAACAAATTTAAAAAGGTGTACCTATTTGGTACTAGATGAAGCAGATAGAATGTTAGATATGGGATTTGAACCCCAAATTAGAAAAATAATAGAGCAAATTAGACCAGATAGACAGACATTAATGTGGTCTGCTACATGGCCTAAGGAAGTTAAAAATTTAGCAGAAGATTTTTTGAAAGATTATGCTCAAATTAATGTTGGCTCCCTACAATTAGCTGCAAACCACAACATATTACAAATTATCGACGTGTGTCAAGATTATGAGAAAGAAAACAAGTAAGTAATTAGATTTACTTAAAATATTAATGAAGATTGTATGAGATGCCACCTGTAACATTATTTTCATTCATTACAGATTAAGTACACTTTTAAAAGAGATAATGGCAGAAAGTGAAAACAAAACTATAGTATTTATTGAAACAAAACGCAGAGTGGATGAAATAACTAGAAAAATGAAGAGAGATGGTTGGCCTGCTGTTTGCATACATGGGGATAAGACACAACAGGAAAGGGATTGGGTTTTACAAGGTAGAATCAATAATCAGAAAATAACTTTACCAACATTTTAAAATGTACTATAGTTAAAAATAATTTTGTATTTAATTTTTAGATTTTAGATCAGGAAAAGCGCCAATTCTTGTCGCAACAGATGTTGCTGCTCGTGGTCTTGGTAAGTAAACGATTTTTACTATAATGCAATAAAATAATAAGATCAAACATCATTGATCATTTTCCTTTGGTATGGAGAATGAATTGCTCTAAATCACACTTCTACCAGTGAGCTTAATAATTACTGCAGTATACCAGATATCTTGTTCTGACATAATATTATAAAAATAATCGATAAATATATATATTTAGCAAAATATTAGATACTTGCTAACCAAAATTAAGGTGTATATTTAAATTAGAGTAGTAGTTTGCTTTTTCACGTTGTTCTTTTTTAGTGATAAATTATTTTTACGTGATAAATGTAAATGGTTCTCATATATATTTAGTCAGAACAGGGTTTCATTCATCTATGCTTGAACCACTTTATGATTGAATATATTGGGATAATTTTATAAAATCGATGATATTTCAATTCATATACTAATAAGTGAAAAGCATGAGATCAAATCGTATTTGATGGATTCAAACAGTTACTTAATGAGAATAACTAAATTCTGAAGTTATATTTCAATTATAAATATATAGCATTTTAAATACATAACGTGGTTCATTCAACATTTCTAATATTTGTGTTTATTTTGCTTCCTCACTTTTTGCTAAAGGTAATAATTTTTAAATAATATATCAAAGAAAAGTCGTAAAGATGAATTGAAACTCATGTGGTCGGCAAGCATATTGTAGTTATTCATTTATGAAGGTACAAAAACAACTTATCTATTTAAAAAAAAAAGCAAATCAATTTTAAAGTAATATAACTTAAGCTTTAGGTGTTACTTTTTCTCTTTCTAAATGAGTTGAATAATTCGATAGAATGCCCAGGCAGCATTTTAAATTACTATATTCGCAACGTAAATGTAGCTTGAACTTAAGGTTTAGTTAGTCCAAAATGTTATGCGCTTGCCGAAACTAATAGATGAAAACAGTTTAAAGATTTCTTTCCCATAAACTCGCCTTCTAATGAGATTACCAGAATTATCAGTTGAAGATAGTTAAAAAAAAAAAAGATAGAACAAACTAAAGCAAAAAAAACTGTAATGCAAAATTCATATTGAACACAGGAAAATAATGAGGTAAACATGTACCTAACGCGGTTGGATCTTTGTTTGTATTGCAGAGGCACATTGCGCGCAGACCCACGCCGGGTAATGCAAAGCAAATTGGGGGTGCCCGCCGCCTGTATGTTCGGTGGTGCACTGGTTTGCATTGTCTGCGCTGGCTGCGACGCGTGCCTCTATACGTCAATTCCGTGAAGGGCCAGTCCGGGCCAAATCGGGATCTACTTTACCTCCTACATACTGGATATCAGTTCTACGCTACGCTGTACGCCATCTGGGCTGGCCAAGTCGTTGTTGCCAGAATAGAATCCCCTGCGCTGGCCGCTCAAGCTAATCAGACCCAACAACGGTCCAATGAGGCGGTGGCATGGTAGCTGATGCCAGAGCCTCTAAGTGTGCCCTGTAGCAACAGAATGGCGGAGGCTGTAGCTGGAGCGAGCGCAAACAGCCAGGCCCTGCCCGTACGTTGCTAGCGACACTCACCCACTGCCTATCACCTAGAAAAAATACAGTATGACTGTATAATATTGTTCTCTGCTAGAATCTGAGATGATTCCTGATTAAAGAGATACTTTACTCAATACCTAATGTTGTGTAATTATTAGTTTGGAAGATATAGATAGTTGCTTGATTATCCAAGTTCCATTAAAAATTATGTCATTGTCTTTATTTAAATTATTTATATTTAGCTTTTATTTAGCTAAATAGCTTTTGCTAAGTATCTTCTTTATTAAGAATTGCATAACATTTTATTTAATCAAAAGAATCTTAGATTCAGAATGAACATAATATAGTTCAAATGCTTTTTTCTAGGGGACTCTGTTTGCACACTCTTTGTGTATACATATATAGGAAATTATTTTGTAAAATGTGCTATACTGAGTATATGAGAAATTCTTGAATCAAGAATGAGTTAATTTTATCTTTATGTGACCATCATTTACCAACTTTACACAGCATAGTACAGTTCTTGGAAACTATTTCCCATGTGTTGAATATAAATTTGGGAAGTTATTGATTAATGGTCACACAAAACTACCAAGAGCTTTTTCTTATTTCTAGTTCAAGGCTTTATAATATTCCATGTAGCCCACATTCTATGAAACATTCCTTATAAGTATGCTTAAATATATATATATATATAAGATATATATATATATATAAGATATATATATATATATAAGATATATATATATATATAAGATATATATATATATATAAGATATATATATATATATAAGATATATATATATATATAAGATATATATATATATATAAGATATATATATATATATAAGATATATATATATATATAAGATATATATATATATATAAGATATATATATATATATATCTTATATATATACATATATACATACACACATGTATCACTTTTATATCCACTTGAATTTACATTTCCTTTATCCTTCTGAATCCTTTATGATAACTGTATCATTACATATTCACTTTATACTAACTTTCGTATCAAGTAAGGTTTTATGTACATCAATTCTGGTTTCATTTTCCTTAGATATTCTTATTGTTTATTTTGTTATTTGTTCAAGTAAATAGTACATATAATGAGACAAAAGAATACACAGTTTCAAATAGAGTATCTATTAGAAATTACATAAATTTTGTCAAGAAAAATATGAAACATTTAAAAAAGAAATACACATATTAGAATAAGTGAGACCTTTTTTTAGAAAAGGGAACCAGGATTGTTTCCATGCAGAGATTTATCTTTATTTCAGAACTTTATACTTTAGTCAAAACGCTCTCTAAAGATATAATATTCTTTTTTGTTACATTTAGCTTTATTATTTTCATGAAATTAGAAATGGTCATAAATAAGTATTACTGTTTTAAAGAAACCTTAAGAAAAGAAACACAATTTAAAATATCTGATATTTTCATATGTTCAAACTACTTGAAAAATATACGATTAAATGAATATGCAAGGTGCTTTTAGCCAAAGAGACTTATGGGTTATAGTGATACCATTTGGAGAGCGTGTTTAATCTAAATATTTCTTTAAAATAAGCGATTGATACATAATACGATATTTTATATACGTCTTGCCATACTACTATCTTAACCGATGTCTATCCTGGAGGCGGTTACTTCCGGTGATTAACAACTAATACATTTGCTTTATTTCAGACGTTGAAGACGTCAAGTTTGTCATCAATTTTGACTATCCCTCCTGTTCAGAAGATTACGTTCATCGAATCGGTCGAACAGGTCGTCGGCAAAAAACTGGTACAGCATATACCTTTTTTACACCTAATAATTCCAATAAGGCTAACGACCTAATCCAGGTATTAAAAGAAGCAAATCAAGTGATAAATCCAAAGCTACTGGAACTTGCCGATAGTAAAAGCGGTGGATATGGCAGGCATAGAGGTTTTTGACTACTTCATAATTCAATACTGGTTATTCTTTAAAAAAAAGTTTATCAAATCTGTTGGATATTTTTAGGTGGAAGAAATAGATGGCGGTCTCGAGGTGGCCGCAATGGAAAAGATCGTAGTTATTCGAGAAGTCGAAGTCGAAGTCACAGCAGAGAACATAATGGTCGTGGTAATCGTCGAAGTTACAGTCGGAGTTATTCCCGAAGTCGTAGCCCTGTTAGCAATCGTACAGGTAAGTAATGGTACGTTCCCATTATGCTGGCGCATTTATTATATATTTTCAACAAATCATGAAAAATGGATTTTTAAATTTTATATTGTGTAAAAAGATTTGTATGTTTTCAGAAGTTATCGGTAAGAGCTACTGGAGCAGCGAGAGATGATCTTCCACGAGTAGTTAAGGACCAAACAATTGCATACAATTCATGATTTTTTTTACGTCTCTTTTAAAATACACACACTTGATACACGTCTTAAAAATTGTAATATTGATGTTCCAATGTGCGTAAACACGTCGAACCTGACGTGTTAACGTAGAATTCTTGTGCATTAATAGGTAGATTATAATTTAGAAGTGTAAGATGAGTGTTTCCAGCGCGAGAACACTTTCGTCAGTGTTACAAAATAACGCGATATCGTGTACTAGGATATACATATTGATTTTAAGCAGACTCACGATCAATTAATTAATCTGCCGAAATGAAAGAAGGGTAACGATGTCTATTGAATAAAATTGTCGATTCGAACACAGAATACGATTTGTATTTTCCAATCGATAATCTCGAATATTCCAGTATTCATGGAATTTTGCCTTAGTTTATACACTAAGCTTTAAATATAAAGAATGAACACAGCGTAACCATGTAAAATTATTATATTATATACTGTATCACGTACATGTTTTATAACGACGTTGCAACATTCGGTAATACTAGTTAAGTTCATGTAAACGATAGTGTGAGTTTAGTTAGGCTAATCATTTAAGATCAAATCCACTTCGAAACCGAAATGTCCCGCAATTTGTAGCCGAGGATTAATTGTAGACGTCTAGTGCTTGCTAGCAATTAATTCGTACACGTACTCGAGCATTTAAAACTAATGAAATGATGTACAGTATTTAACAAAAATGTAATATATAAATTTATTAACTATTTAAGAATTAATATTTTAATTTCTGCCTATCCTCACATTCCTATTTCTATCGTTAAATTTTTGAAAAATACCCAAGTTCATGAAATATCGAACCATGCATTCATAAAAATGTTAAATATTCCGTCTCTACTCGATAACATCGAACAAGTGTCTACCGAAGCACCACTTTATCACCTCAAGTGTGAAGTGACTAGATTCCGAACAAGTAGAACCTGTCTAGAAGACCACTAAATTGGACAGTACCCTCATCTATTCTTGTCCTATCAAACAAATATCCACAGCATAAGAATTAGTTCCTCTTACTACAAAAATTTCATCTGTTGTATCCAAAGTTGCACAATATTATAATAGAATATTAATTTTACAATTTAACCAGCGCAGAAAAGGAAAGAGAGGAAGCGTGAGAGAGAGATACACGATACGCCGAGGTTGCTGAAAACCCGCGCACGTGCTTCTTTTTGCAATTTCTCAATTCGAGCATTTACGTAAACCTAACACGGCAAACACTAAACTAAAACCATTGAAACGTTCCAATTGTTACGAATATCCTTTCATAAACGCGTAATCGAGAGAGAAAGAACAGGTTGTGAGATACGAGTGAAAAGCAGCAAAGATTTATGAATGAACTGTAATACAGGTGGATGGGTCGATAGAGCGGCCCCCCGCAGGATCGCACGGCAAAGGCGTAGTAATCGATAGAGTGAGGGTGAGAAGGGATAGAAGCCGGCTCGAAGCAGACGGAGAGTAGCGGAGACCGTGGAGGGCAGAGTCCATTCAGTAGAAACGGCAAGGCTGCTATTGATTGCGTGGGTGGTTAGAGGAGAGAGATGAGTTACCCCCACTTTTGGTCATTCAGCAGCCGCACTGCTGTGACACGGGGTTAGCGGAGGGGAAGAGGGGCCTTGAAAGATGAGGGGAAAGGGTGCGAAGAAGAGGGACGGTAGCCCGATTACTGGAATGCCGTGGGTGGCTAACGAGAGAGGAGGGGAATTCCACCCCCGTCTTCGATTATACGCACGAATGCAGGCACAAACACTTTGCCCTAAAATTTACATTTACCCTATGCTTTTCCAAAAGTTCGTGTTTCCAAACTTGTTTCCATTTGACATTTCTACTATAACCGAGCCGTTGTTGCTTGCTTGAGAAGGAGAGAATTGATGAACTTGAGTGTTAGGTGAAAATTTGAAATTTTGATATTTCCAAAGTCTTTGGAAGTTTGAACTTTAATATTAAACCGGTGGAGAGTTTGTTAATTTTAGTATTCGTTACCTGCCTCGGGGGAAACTGTCAATGGTTTGGTTGGAAGACGAAGGTGGTATTGTCTTCGTTGATTATTCCACTCCGATAAGACCACTTGTCCCGAGACAACAATGATTCTTCATCGAGATAGGGTAAAGAAACGGGCGGCATCAATGGAGAAATATAGCTTGGTTTCTTTGTCTCCTTTCGTTGAATCTCAACTGCTTGTCCAACTGTAATGAAAAGTATATTCATTTGGAAAATAATGTGAAGTATTAATTTCAAGTAGAATACGTACATACCTGATGAAGCGTCAAGGGAATTGGTCCTGCATTAGTCAGACAAGAAATAGTCCAAATGATTATCTGAAATTATTTTATACATTAATTTCACAAATTTTTCACTAATATCCAATGGACATTTTATTTTCTTTTTTTTTTACAATTTTTAATACATATTTTGGCAGATTAAGAGTTTCATTATTTCAAATAAAAATTATAACTAGAAAACTGATACCTTTGCATCTTATGAACAATTCTGTCAGGAAGGAGATCAGAAAGGGTTGAAAATTAATTTTTCAACAAGATGAATACTTCAGTGACGCAACTATTCCTCATTTAGGCTGAGACGGGCTACAACGATTTTAAGTCCCAGGGAGAAACTTGTTGCGCAGGCGGACCGGAACTTAGCGTAAGCTTGTTTGTGATCTGCCACCCTAGCCCTACTACATATACCGCCACCCTCACGTCTGACACAGGCGAATTGATGACGTTACATGACAAAAATTACGATCAACAACTTTTTTTAAATCAAATTATTCAACTTTTTCTTTCCCTTGAATACTGATCTATCCTACACCAAAGAAAACTTCTTACAACTCACATAAATCTTTCACAAATCTCAAATACCCCCTTCTAACAATTCAATGAAATTTAATAAAACAATAAAAGATATTGAAAGAACATCAAACAATATCTCATTCACAGTACTCGATAAATTGGCTCGGTTATTATTACAAGGACTACGTTACTCCTATTCTATGACATAAGTATCGTTAATGCTAATTCAAAGCCAACAGCCACATCTAATCCAAGGAAAAAGAATAAACGACGAGAAGTGGTGTTAAAAAAAAAAAAAAAACTAATCAAACCACACTCTCGCTGTTCCCTGTGGTACAACCACTTACCTAAAATCATGAATTACATTCCAGGAAACCGGCGGAAAAACCAAAAGAAACCATAAAGATACGGGGGGAAAGCAGAGAAAAATGGGAGAACTTTGGTGGAGAGGGTAAAAGCGAACTTTCAAGAACAGCCCTCGGTGGTTCTGACGAAAAGAGCTCTCCCTTTGGAGTAGAGGGAACAGCGAAGAGAACAGAAGAAAGAGAGAAAGAGAAAAGAGGGAGCTCGACGGTGCTCATGTTGGAGAGGGGTTGAAACGAACGAAGGGGTGTGCTCTGGAAAGAGGGGGAGGCAAAGGAAGGCGAATAGTCGCCTCGATGATACCACCTCTCTCAGTTGCTCCTCGGTTTCCGGACTGCGTGGACTGGCAGGTTAGTGAATCCGACTCTCGTTCATTCACCAGTTTCTCTTCGTTCCACTCTTGACCTCCTTCCTTCCTTGACACCCTCTCTCTCTGTCTCTCTCTCTCACACCCTCATTCTCCACCCCGTGTGACCGCTGGTTCCATTCATGCGATTCGTTCTTTGCTCGCTCGCTCGTTCGTTCGCTGCTCCCCTTGATTTATCGAAGTCCCCGGTGAAAAACGTTTTTCCATCGTTGTTTCGCTCTGCTCCAACGCTGATATCCTGTCGAAGTACATAATAATCGTCAGTGTCACAGGTACATTCTCTTTATTCTATATTTTCTTCTTTTTTTTCTTTTTTTTTTTTCATTTTCTATCGATTGCACGAATTCATCCTCTTCCCCGTTTTCCAAGCGAATTCTACGTCTGAAATTCTTTACATGGATTGCAAGTGATATCTTTGTACTGCAAGTGAAGAAGATTTTTCTCGTTACTTTGTGAGATTTTTGTAAATAGACTTCGTTTTCTTTTCTTCTTTGATTTCTTTTAGTTTATTCTAACAAAAACGGGGGAACGCATGATACGTAACTATGGGATTTTGACGAAACTTTGTAGATCGATAAAGAATTGAAAGTTGTGCGGTCAGGTTGAATTCTAGGTGTAGACACTCGATAGTTTACGAGATATTTAACAATAAAGTGTTGAATTGAACCGCTGGTGCGGGGGAAAACCTTTGAAGTAAGCGGCCAAATCAAGCAGGTCGCTGGCGTAATGGCTATGGCTGTGTAGTCTGGTAAACGAGAAAGGGTCTGTGGTTTCGAATCTACCACCCACCTACGGTTCAATTACATTTTTTTTCCTGTTTACTCCATTTCAAATTAATTTCCGTATTACCATTTATTTAGCAACCTTTTTAACAATCAACAATATGTAAATATATTTCTTATAATTTTATATCATAAAAATCGCATTCTCGTGGATGGTTTTTATCGTAATATTCGCAATACTTGAAACTTCAGGAAACTTTCTTTTAACAGGAAGTCAGCATTTTAATTGGAACAGGTTGTTCCGTGGGGTGTACTTGAAAAAGTATACAGGTAGTTGCAAGAAAACACCAGTAAAAAGAATGTTTTCTTAAACTAATTTTATACAATGTTTCATGGTGTATTAAGATTTTCTGTTTGAATTGTTTTTACAATAAGTATCACCCATTCGAATGAGACATTGTATGGATATTTTATTATACAGTATCAATATTCTACATTAAAATTAAAATTCAATAAAGAAAAAGGATTAATGATATTTTTGATTCAATTGCTTTTAAGATAAATACCAATCGTGAGAATGTAATACGTGTAATATAAAATTATGGAAAATATTTTTACATATTTTTGTGTATTAAAAAAGGCTGCAAGTCCCTCGACACGACATTTCGTTAGGGGGGAATGTGTCGATACTGACCTCGACGGAGAACGTAATTTTTCGCGTTTCGACCGGTCTTATTCGAGACACGTTTGTCGAGGGAGAAGCATTAAGAAGGAAATATCGGAGGAACAGCTGTTAGAACTCGTAAGAAAAGCAACTATACGGTGGGTAATCTTCTTCCTTTTTTTCTTTTCCCTCGACAAAGAGTATTGTACAGTATTCTGTTTAGTACTTTTTCAGTAAAAATACATTTTCTATTACGTACGTATTGCTTAAAAACTGAAAGGAAAACGTAGAGAGAAAATGTACCCTTTTATGTTTCATCGTTAAACATATTCCTGGGTTTAACATTGATTTTCTATCTGGATAATATAATTCTTTGTACGTTAACAATTGTAACAATTCTTGATCGAATACAATAACTTTCCACTCTGAACGTTCTTTGTAACTCATCGCAAACTAATTAAGAAGCAGGGAACAAAGTCTTTTCTATCCATTATATGTCGTTGGATGTTCATTGTTTTCGGATGATAATTTAGTATTTCGTACAGAACGTTTCGTCCAAGGGTAGAAGATGAATACGCATCGAAGGAACCGAGAAACGAAATACTAAAGCGACAAAGCCGGTTTAAATGGTGAAATACTTCCATTCAACGAAATAGTTGTCGTATATTGAACCGTGAAAACAGTGAAAGACAATGATTATACGATTCATATCGAAGAACAAAGGGAACACACGCTTTCAAATGATGCAAAGAAATTAATTGTATCGAGGAATAATAATTGGACGTGTTAAACGATAAATGATGGATCAAATTCCTTCACAGAATCGTAGAATATTCTGGCGGGTTCTTCGGTTGAATAAAATAAAATTACTTTTTACGTTTCAACAATTATTACGAAATAATTGCTTCTCGTGAAATGTAAAATGTCAGTTGCAACGATTATTTTCAAGGGAAATGATATTCAAAGAATCATGGACTAATCTGAACTGTGAATCCCTCACGAGTACCCAATTAATGAGTTAATGCAAGGGTACACCATCCTTAATTGAAATTCCATGCCGTGAATATCGGGGATGATTAAATTTTATCTCCCACGAGACACAAAAAGGAGTCGGTAATTGGATATCTATTATCTATTAATCCAAGAAAGCTAAGTAATTACATTACTAATGCCTGCTAAATTAGTTCTGAGAATCGAACAGAATTGAATTCTGTGCTGATTTGATTCTTGTAAGACCAAGTTCAGCAATAATGGAAAAAATGTATTCCTCAAAAGGACCGAGTTTCTTGAAAAATAAACTTCAATTTACATCGTACGTTAATTCTTCCATTTACTAAACTAATTTCTCCTATTTGAAAATGTTCAAATAAATTCCAAATTTCCTTAATTCATCCTACTTGCTAACGATCGACAAGCAAAATCAACGCTATCACACCGTCAGCGAAGGCCAACTTAATATTCCCTAAACACGCGAGTCAGATCACTATCCTTCCAACAGAATTACATGTAAAGTAACAAATTGTACCGTTTAACTCAGACCAGAGGAAATTTCTTTTACTACAACAAGTGTCTTGTGCCTCAATGTCAAATAAAGAATTGATCGATGGAAAATCGTGCTATTTCCGTCTTGCAAACGTGTTCAGCCTGAATTTCTATACGTTCTTTTCTGCAGAAAATGCGTACTGTGGCCGTATGGACCGCTTTCATGTTAGCGTACTCGAGCAGCCCGTTTGTGGCCGGTATACGATACATCGATCCGATCTCGGCGCAATCAGGGAACACCGGCGACATCGCAGAGAAGCGCGTTGACCTGACTGAGCCGACATGCGAAGAATTGAGGACAATGTGGAGATACACCAAACGGCAGAGCAGGGCTGCTAAAACCACCACCGGCTATTCACTTTATCCTGATCCGTTTTCGTACAATGTCTGGAAATCATATCCCGAGCGCGCCAAACCTCCTGTTAACTATCGTGGTAAGACGATCTTTATGATGGCTCGAACTGTTTTAACGTCGTAGATTGTAGTCGCTCCACCGTTTATCTGAAAGAAACGACAAGTTTTCTTTTTTTATTAATGAAATTAACAAAAGAACGGTTGAAATACTTGGACATTAGAGGTGTGAAAGGTGCGGGCACGTTTGTGAACATAAAGTGGATATGCAAATGAGAAAAGTTATAACTGAGAAAATATTCCATTAGGTTTGTCGCGGGAAACGTTCGATCACTCTTATTTGATTTCTCTTCGTGTTTGTTGTAATACGAGAACGGTAAATACACGTTGTTAATTGAAAAGGTTGGGCAATTTTGCGTTTGTATTTGATATTGAATTCATCAACGTGCACTTTTGCGCTCGCTTAATTAAATTCTGGCTCCACTTAGTTTGCAGTAGACGGGCAAACAGGCGAAGAGGTGTATGCAAAATAATCCGATTATAGGTGCCTGCCTATACATTGCAGCTCTCACCGCGAGCCCCTTGACTTAAACTTCGCGCACGAAGTTTGTGGAACGATAAAATACCAAGTTTCGGTTTTAAACGGAATTACACCGTGAAATACCACGAAAAATAGTCGAATAATTACAGATTAACCTACCGATGAGAGATGTTGAAGAGACTTCGAATTAAATAATAAGATACCTTTTCTTTTATGTACGCGCTACCTTAGAACAATAAAAATACACTGTACATTTTTTTTTCTCATTCTACCAAGTTTTGCTCTTTTTGTTTACTGTGAACAGTAAACATTTTACCGAATTATTTTGTACAGGAAGGTTCACGGGAAGACCCCGTAATCGTGCAGGCGGTAGCGCTCCAATTTATGGGAAGATGGTGCACAAGGCGCCGGCAGGAAGTAGATTAAGAAACGGGATGCGCCAGTCGCTACGACCTTTCGACAAAATCCAGCATTCTTACGGAACAATTAATTCTTATCCACCGTCATCGAGGAGACGTTTGCCCAGCTTTCGCACGGGAAATATTTCTCCTCCCTTGTCTCAGGTTCCACAGGCTGGTAGTTTCCAACACTTGAAGGAATTGCTTCGCGCACAACGTGCCCGCGAGCTACAGGTTAATAATAATAATAAAAAAAAAAAAGAAATAATAATAATCTTTGAAGATTTTACATCGATCAAAAGTAATTGGAAAATCAGCTAATTTTCCTCCTTATTAAGATATTATACATAGACGATATGAATATCGTTCTTTTAATTAACTGTTTGAATTTGATTAACAATCCAAGGAGCAACACAAGGCTGAAAAACTCGTAGAAAAGACGTCTACCTTCAAAGACTCGATGGACGACGATCATCCCTTCAATATACAGCAGTCGCGAAAGTACTTCCTGAAGCCGACATTGCAAATTCCGTCGGAAATTAATTACGACTTTGGTCAGGGACGATACACATCGAACGTGCCGAATATTGGTCAAGCCTGGTCGGTGAGTAACAACGTTCCGCTCGCTAAAATCAATTTAGAAAAAGGATAAAGAAATGCTGTTTAATGTTACTCTCGATAATGCTGTTTTCAATTATTCAAATTACTTAACACGAATAGATTTACTATTTTCCATCGTGAGAAATGTCACAGTAACAAGTTTTCTAATAGAATATATATGTATATAATTAAAAAGAAAGTTATGCAATTTTTAAATTGTAACAAAACTTATAGGCTACTCTGTACAATTACATGTTCTAATACAATTTGTTCACCTAGTAATATATAGGGAATGTGTTGTATAATTGTTTTTCTTTACAATAACTAATTAGTACATAGTAACAATAAGTCTGTTGCAGAGGAGTGGACCCCAGGCTCGAGAATACTTGTTGCGTTAGTACCTCAATAGACTACCGATCTCTCCCACGCAAGGAAAAGGCCCGAACGATTGACGTAACGGTTTCGCCGTTACGTTTGCACACGACAATATGCAAAATATTCGCATCTGCTTCCCCGGCAATCTCCGACACATTGAAACCTGCGTGAACCAGATTCTTGCGTTTGTAGCAGTGAGTATCGCCCCCGGAAAGGGTTCCACTTTCGTTGTCTATTCTCCGTCGTCCTCCGAAGGTTGCTCCAGAGCCTTTCGTTATCTTGCACTTGAATCGCAAGACATCTCGATCACCGCGATTCCTCGTCTCGATTCCCCAAAGCGTGTTACCTATGCTCGACAATAAATGGAAGTCAATAAATTGAAATGGAAAGTCGGCGGAAAGTCGGAACCGGAAACGGCTTCATTACGAGGGAACGCTACAGAATGTATATTTTCTTAATTCGTTTAAACTCGCACAGATTTAATTGCGCGGACATGATCGCCGCCTGTGTAGAATCTTCCATATACATATATAAATTTAATACTATCTCCGACAAATGGCTACTACTAGCGGCGACGTAATCGTACTTTTACGCCGCTGAGCGGAGAAAACACGAGCGAAATGTTGTTCTCTTTTCTTTTCTCTCTTTTTTTTATTATTAACAAATAATACAAACGTTTACGTTAAATATTGCACGGGACTTGGTTTTTGTGAATTGAACGAAAGTTTGAAAGAGAAAGAGAGAGGAATAAGGTTCTGTTTTTCTTATTTGACAAAGTTTCGTTTTATTACATTAATACGGGATAATGAGGGTTCTACTGTTAACGTAAATAATGCGAAGATATTGAAATAATTATAAATTGTGTAAAACGGTTTAAATTTTTATTCTTTACTTAACTTATATAAAAAAAATACTACTGTACCGTTTATAATTAATTAAGATAAATTGAAAGGAAAGAGGAATTGGACATTATTTGAATAATTATAAACGGTTACACTAGTTGCTATCAACATTGTTGCTACGAGGAAAATTTTATTAAAGTTAGATAATAATAATAATGTGTCGTACCTGGCTTGAATAATTTGTTTGAATTTGTCGTACTGTTTTACAAATTGACAATTATATTATTGCACGTTTCTTTTATCACTAACGTCGTTTCTCTACTTTAAAGATGAAATCGTTTGGTGATCAATGATAATCGAAATAACAATATCGAAAATCGATATTTCGATTTATAATGTAAGAAAAGTCATACAGTTAAGAGACTATAAAGCATAATCAACGGAACTGTATCGAAGACAATAATTACTCTTAAGAAATATTCCTGTAGTCTGTACGTGCAATCGACGCAGATGCGATTTCAATTTGAAATTTTACGATACACGATTTACGAAATAATTTAAAATAAGATGAATATAGTAATATTTAAAAGAAAGATCTCTATGTGTGAAGATGAAATTCTTGAAAGAAGATGAAAACGCATCTTATTCACATACACGAACTTCATATGCATCGATTATGCGTACAATCGATTTTATTTTCGGCCCTTAAGCTCTAGATCGGTTGCCCGCTAAATTTGAATTTTAGATTCTAACCTACGATTGAATTTTTATTACTTTTTGAATATTCTATTTTTACATGAATACGAATCAAGAGATTCATAATATAAGATTATTGCAAACGGAAAAATTATTGTACGAGTCTAGTATAGAAAACTGTATTACACCTATAAAAAGAAAATGATTTAAAAGAGTAAATTCTCTTTGTTGCATTAGTTTGCTACCAAAAGTTCTATGCCAATGATAAGGGCTTAAGGGTCAGAACTATATAAAGACAATAAATATAAACGTTTCTTGTAACCGTATAACAAAAATTAAGTAGGTTAAAGACAGGTATTTACGTGGCTTAATCCATATCTCATTGCTGAGAATTAATCACTTTCAGCTCCTATGACGCGTACAAAACGAAAAAACTTCTGAACAATTATATAGAACAGTGATACCGGACGCGGTTCTAATATTTGATTACAAATACTTTGTACTTGTATACATCTATTTGAATACGATATGCGCGTATACTGCTCATATCACACACGAAGATCACATACACATACATACACGCACGTGACATCTACACAATCACGAAGAACCGCGCGTATTATATACATGCATATCAAAATACACAAATATATAAAATATACATATATTTGTTATGCAACTATGACTATTACTATGTTCATTGTATTGATTAAGTTTCAATGAATGGATGTTTCTGGCCAGAATTCTTCAACTACAGAATCAGTGCCTGATATCCAATAACTAGAGACTGGTTGAAATCTCCTTGGATACAGATCACAAGCTGTTCATATCTTATTTTAACTATTTTAATGTAAGAATTTCATTCTTCAAATGTGCGCAGAGATATATAACATGTATACATGTGAAATTACTAAATGAAGAGCTATATCTTGAATGATGTTAGAAATAGCAAATTTATGTAAACTGAAAAGAATTAATTTAAGGCATGAAAGATACATGGGTCAAAGTATCAAATATTTTCTAATGTAAATTAATAAGGATCATGTACTATAATGATTTATTTTGTTTACTCTGAATTATAATCTATGTATTTTGAATTATTCCATTTGATATTTAGACCCATATGTCTTTGAAACTTCAACTAATAAATTAGAGAAAATATGCTTCAAATTTCCTGTTCTATAATTGTTCATTTTGTTCTATATCTTTTTTATGTTTGAAATATAACTATGATAATATTAGCTATTGCAAATTGAGTCCATGATTTTTTACACTAATCATATTATCCTGATACATCACCAAATTCCTATTAGCAAAGTATTTTACCATTTTAACAATTTGAAATACTATAATACAATGATAATGCTTCATTAAAGAAATTATTAATATGATATCTGAAATGTTAAATAAAGTTTAAATACCGTTTATATATTAAATAAATCCGATTTACTAATATTGTATATTGAGTTCCTGATTTTGAAATGACAAAGTGTTGATATCTTAATTTCAAATATGATTCGGGGTAATTAACACAACTATATAATGTAAGCTTAATAAGCAGAGCTGCGAATAAAATGAATTGACATTTTGTGCAATAGTCATAATATTAAAAAAAAAAATTATTTAATAGACAACTGCCGACATCTAGCAGCTTAAATCTGTACTATAATATTTCAATGGTTCTCACACTTTACATCCACCTTTTTTCTGTTTTTAAACTGCTCTTATAAAAGAGGTGTATGTGTGCATTGTTAACTTATATTAATATAATTTCAACAGAGTGTCTTTATTAAAATATATGTTTGCATTGTTCATTTCATGCAATTTTCATTAAAAGGTTATGCATTTAATATTAATTGATAAACGCTACAAATCGTAAAACGCTATAAAACAAATATTTTTCTATTAAAACGTGGTGACAATGGTATTCTTAGGAATTGTGTACAATACTATTCGGCCACTTCGTAGTGTTAAAATAGTCAACTTAAACATAACGCGAACGTATACAAGGTGGGTTAGTCGAAGACCGGTTGCAATTCTTAATGAGGACGAACTTTACGATTGTGAAGATACTACTGAAGAAAACATTCAACAAAGGAAAATTCCTTCAAGGAGTGTAAGAAAAAAGAAAAAAACCCCTATAAAAACCGAAGAAGCTGCACCACCTGAGCTAGTAAAAAAAAATGTATTTACAAATCTTAAGGAAAATGATAAAATTATAACGTAAGTGCTCTATTCTCTGCTACAGTCACAAATGAAATTGTAAAATTGGTTGCAAAGTACCAAGAATCTTTAAAACTTGCTTGTTTTAGATCTTTAATGACTAAACTTAAATCTCGAAAGAGGAGAGAGAAGGCTAATGAGATAATCTTAGAAGGGCAAAGATTGATTAAAGATGCTATTAAAGCTGGTATAATGCCAAATAAAATAATCTTTAATGATTCATCTGATATCAAAGAATTCAAGTTTCCTGAAGATGTTACATTATACAAAGTTACATATAAAACAATCCAATTATGGTCTAGTTTAATTACTTCTCCTGGATTGTTAGGTACCAATGATGTATATTTTAATTAAAATTTTAATGTTATCAAGTTCCATATTAAAATCATTCTATACATATTTTCTATTGTAATATAGGAATTTTTAAAGTTCCTGATATACAAAACAATATCGCAGCAGATAATGCATTGCCACTTACTATAATTTGTGACAATATAAGGGAACCAGGAAATTTGGGATCTATTATGAGAGTTGCTGCAGGGGTAGGCTGTGAAAAGTTAATAATAATGAAAGGTACAAAACTTTGGAGTTCATGGATCACTTGCAATTTTTTTAGATAATGAGCTTACTGAGTTAACATTTCACATCACTTTATTTAGGTTGTGTGGACTTATGGGATCCAAAAGTTCTTAGAAGTGCAGCTGGAACTCATTTTCGATTGCCTATTCATGCATTCCCAACATGGAATCAGGTTCCATCATTAATCAGTGAAAATTGTAACATTTTCATAACAGACAGTAACTTTGGTGATGAATTTATATCAAATTACTCACCTGATATGCTTGCTGCAACTTTGGAAATATTTGATATTGATCCAGAAGAGCTTGCATCAAAATGTGCTATGAATAATAATAACACTGATAAAACAGAATTAATAGATAATAAGAATGCAATGAAACAATTCATGTTAAAAATCCCAATTGCACCATATTATTCCTTGGATTATACAAGAAAAGAATCTGTGATTATTCTGAGTGGAGAAACTGAAGGTTTGAGCTATGATTCATACAAATTCTTAAGTAAACAGAAGAGCATTCGTATTAATGTACCTTTAGTAAAAGGAGTTGATAGTTTAAATACAGGAGTGGCACTTGGTATTGTTGGCTTTGAAATTAAGAGACAATTCTTGAAGAAACAGAGCCAAATTTGATAAAGTGTATGTAATATATGTTGAGCATTTGTACAAATAAATTCTTGTCTTTGGTTCCTCAATAAACTTTGCATTTATTATTTACAAAAGCTTATCTTATTTAAATTTTGTAAAAGGTAAACTAAAAATAGAATTTGACAGTAGTAATAATTACAAATTCTAATACCTTAATTTCCATTACTAACGGGTTGAGCAGCAGCTGGTCGAACTGAAAATTGAAAACAGAATATGTATATCTGTGTATCTGTTTAATTTGTTTACTAGGGAAATCTTACTTGCACAACTTTGAGGTTGAAACTTTATATCGTCGATAGCGAAACCTCCGTTACTAGCACTTCCCCTTAAGATGAGACGGTAGGGTATACGAGCATTGATTGTCACCTGTGCAGCAGTCCATACAGGTCTCGGATTGTTAAATCCTTTCGCCGTTAATGACCATAACTAAAATAGAAAGTATTTGACTCTTTACAAATTCAATATAAAACTAACTAAAAGAAAAGTTTAGGCACTCACAGGTTGTTTTTGTCTGTCGTCATCTTCGTCGATTGCCTCTTCGTCAGCATTCATTTTGATAACTTGTAACGTTGTAGATTCCTCCACTCCAAAGGCAGCAAACCAAAAAGTGAAACAAACAGATTCTTCATCCGGTGATGTCTGTATTATAGGTGATCGTAGCCGTACATCCGTCGATTGTTTATTCGTGGTGAAAATATCAAAGAATACAAAATCACCAGTCGCTCCAAACGTCTTATCCAACAACTGAGCTGGACGATGAGCAAGAAATGCTCGCTGCCAAGTAACCACACGTTCCTTCTCGGAAGATGTAATGTTTTCCCAACCACATAATCCTTTCTCAAAACTGCAATCTTCTGGTTTCACTGACGCACTGGATGGTTTTACTAATCATCATTAATAACGTGATTAACTTGCTGTATGTAAGTGTAGTGAAAATACAATAAGATTTTATACTTATAAGATTTACCAGAGCAATTGCCGGTATAAAAAGAGATATCATCGATGCCAATGCTACCACTGGCACGGTTGGGACCCCAAGTACCCTCGAATACCACATTAAAGTATTTTCTTTCGTTTATACTGATCTGTGCATAGTTCCACGTGGGCCCTTGATTATTATACAGCTGCCAGATAGGTCTAGACTCAGTCGAAGATTCTCCAATTTGTATAGACACACGAAGCACACCTTTGTATTCATAACATTATCATAAGTACATTAAATTACTCGAGCAAAACTGTAAGATACAAACCTAAACTTGGTCCAGTCGAATCGATGAAAGATTCAAACATAAAGTACCAGAAGCTGACACATAGAGGCTCCTCACTGCCTTTCATCTCTCTGCTAACTAGCTGTGCAGTTCCACCTCCAGATGATCGGGGTCCTCCTCTTGGACGACCCAGACCAAGAAAGTACTCATTTCTTCGATTTATCGTGTATCCATTGCTGTATAGTTTTCTTTGGTTTCTGGGACTGAGCGCTTGCAGAGAAACTTTCTCCCATTCCACTCGATCTGGATCTCGAGAGTTGATCCAATCGCACTCGTCTACTTCGAAAGTGCAGTCCCGCGATGTTGACGCAGCGACTTGGGGCAAAACTATGAATTCAAATAAGAATTAGATAATATAATGGCACTTTTAAACCTCTTGTATCTTTAATCAAATATAAAAACTTATTAATACCCGGACAAGAGCCTTGTGTGAAAGAGATATCATCGATGGCAATGTCTCCCATACCAGTGTTTCCTACAGACGCCTCAAAAAGAAGTTGAAAATCGTCTAGAGAACTGATTGTAATTTGAGCAACGAACCACGTGTTCCCAGCATTCCCATTCAGACCCCAGATCTCTCGAAGTGGCGCGTCTAAGCTACGAAAATGACGTACGAACAGCTTCAGAGTGCCAATCCCTGATCCAAACATGTGGAACCAAAAGTGCATACACATGGGTGCATCTGCACTTGGAGCAGGAAAGCTAGAGCTGAGGAGCCTAGCTCTGTCTCCTGGTCGACGTGGAAAGGAGGAATCTATGTATGCGTATCCTCCAGCTGTTGATCGATCGGTAGAACTGTCCATTGCTGGTCCAGTTGTCGGATTTCCACTTCCTCGACTCTATATACGTTTATATATTATATAATAAAATGTAATAGTATAAATACTTGCACACTTACAATAGTCCAATCAAAGTCATCCTCTGCATCATTAGCCCAGTCACAGAATCCACCAGCAAAATTGCAGAAGCCAATACACGATGTACCTGGTTGCAAATCTATGTCGTCTATGGCTATGTACCCCCTGAATAGACGAGCTGGGTCGGTAGAATCTACAGGAATTCCTTCAATGATCAACTAAGAACGAATACCTTATATTAGTACAATGATTGTCACAATCTTCTTAACATTGAAACTGTAATCTTTTTCTCAAGAATGAATTTGAACCAAAAGTTACCCAATTACCGAATGCAACTCAGGAAAAGTGTAAAGCATCTGAGTTTGCTGCCAGACACCAAGGGTATAATACTGAGCGTTCCAAATGACACGTTCGTTGAATACTTCCACCGGTTTACAGGATGGTACAGTCACATTCTCAGGAATGATTTCTTCTGTTTGTTCCTTTTTGATAGAAAACTCGTCGCCACCTACGTGAAGCAAAATCCTTAAACCAGCTGCGCTAAGGCCATCCAAGCTGTACTTGAACATTACACAAGTTCCAGCCACTCCTGTGCTCCCCAATTGAGGACTATGTAACAGTCCTCCTAAAGTCTTTGCTTTACCATCCTTCAGTGGCAATTGTGACGTTTCCAGGAAGGCATATCTAATTGAAATTTGAGTTGTTACTTGTCTATAGGGTTTGGATGAAGTATATATGGTTATAGAGAAGACATACCCTCCTTCCATGGTACCAGTTGTATAATCACTTGGGGGACCACCCATCCAATTGGTTCCCATACCAGTTCCAGCCACCCAGTCTAATACATCATCACCACTTTGCCATTCACAGAGTGTCTGTGCTGGAAATGAACCGAAATCACAGAAAACTTCATCCACCGATGCTGTAGGCGGTGGTGCTGTGATTGGTGGATACCTTAATGGGAAGAAAACACCTTGAAACTGTTGAACATTAAGTTTGACAAATTTTTAAACAATTCAAAAATATACCTCTGTGTAGATGAATTTTTTTGCGAGAATACAGAAGGATTAAGAGGATTTCTGGGTAAAGACATCGCCGTGGTGGAAGGAATAGCAGTTCGAGTGTACAAAATATCTGGTCTAACTGGCCAGTGTCTAGGTTCAATGCGTTCCACCTCGTCCAAGGGCTCACGATCGCGATCGATGGAGTTGAATGGGATCTGCGTTGAGTTAAATGCGTCGTTGGTATCGAAGATGTCCTTTGACTCGTCATTTTCCGTGCTTCTCGTCCAGTTTGGAATAAAACTCTCGTTCAAAGCACCAACGAGATCTATTTGCTCTCCAAGTATAGGATTTATGGGGTACCACGAAGACGCGTACGACAACCAGAGAAAGTAGAAACACGTTAATAAGATCAACCACATTTTACAAGTGTTTTATACAATTTGTGTGTGCAGAAAAATAGTACACAAAATTTCTAATGTCGTGATTCTACATCGGGTATTTTGCATAGATCCTCTATCACATGCTCCATCCTCGAAAGGATTAAGGATAATTAAGAATTTGTAACATTTTGAATTGAACGATAAAAAACTATCACCCAATCGCGGTTTTCCGATATTCGGAGGTATCTAATGCGGTTATTGCGACTTTAATACACGCAGGAGAGTGATATCCTTCTAACTAAACGCGAACTGAACGGTTTTCAAAGAGGTATGCGCGTGATGAAATAAAACGAGCATTCCGCAGTTCCGGTCTTCGCTTCCTGTCGTTACGCTTTTGATCCTAGTACAGAGAGGCCGAGTTCGATAACCGTTCATCGTACAATTCCATTGAATTCTCCGGCTATAATAATTATATCGCTATTTCGATCATTATTCTTTTATAAAAAAAAAAAACACAATGATACAGTTGAACGTGAATAGAAAAACTATTCATTACAAGTGCACGCATTTTATGTTTATTTCTAAATGATTAGATTAAAAAGGTCCTATTTTTGACTTTAAAAATCTCAAAAATATTTCCGAGCCAAAATTTCCGTCATTCTTGTTCGCCATGTTCGGAACTCGACCCATGTTCAAATATATTCGAGCAATATAAGGCACGAGAAAGGGACATAAGACTAATTGATCTGTTTTTGGACGATAATATGGCTGTTTCCTCAACATTTTCGATATCAAATTCACAATGCACGCTGATGTTTCTTTAGGAAGTGGTCGTGGTGTTTCCGTACAGGTTTTCTTCACGATTTCTCTTAGAGTCTAAAAATTGGAATACAGTCACGTTGATTGAAAGTATACGTTAAATTAATTGAAAATTACCGTGGCAGGGAATGGATGCCTTTTCGTGATCATTTCGTAAAGAATGACTCCCATGCTCCATGTATCGCACTTTAGATCGTACGATTGTCCCATCAACATCTCTGGTGCCATGTAACAAAATGATCCAGCGCGACATACAGTCGATGGATCTGTTGATCTACAATCAATGATATTGTTTTAGAAATTGAATATAAATTCTATCGTTTTATCATAGATCGTACTCTTTAAGATTTTTCGACACGCCAAAATCTCCAATCTTCACAATATCACCGCGACTTCCGGTCAGCATTATGTTCTCCGGCTTCAAATCTCGATGGAGGATCTTCTTTGAATGTATGTGATGAACTCCAAGAACGATTTGAGAAAACAGGTATAGTGCGTCCTAAATTAATTTAGAAAGAAATAGATTAAATATATGAAATGATCGAACGAAAAGATTATCGATAGGGAAGAAAAGATAAAAATTGTTTTACTTCTTCTTTGAGTGGTAATTGATGTTTTTCCAATAAATCTTTTAAAGTACATCGTGTTGCATACTCCATAAGAATGTAACTATGATTATCTTCTATCCAAGCCCCATAATATGCTACAATATTGGGGTGTCTCAAAGTTTCCAAGCATTGCACCTCTCCTAATATATTCTGAAGTATGAATAAATCATTTGAAATATATTTAACGTGATAAAAGAATATGACCTTGAAAATTTTTTATGAAATTTTCTAATTATCGTTGAAAATTACTTCAATTATTCTTATTTCATGCAGAAATTTTTCAAATTTCATAAACTTTCTCACCTTGAAAGGCAAAGCATTTGTCTTATCGAGAACCTGATCTTTGATTACAAATGGTTTACCGTCTCTTTTTCGTCGTACTAAATGAACAGATCTAAAAACAATAGAAAATGAAGCATCGGAACAATAGAACTTAATCTGAACACGTACCCGAAAGTGCCTTGCCCCAATAATGTTTCGAATATATAATCACTTATATGCTTCGACATTTTCGACGAATACTTTTAGAAGTAGAAGTATCGTATATATCGTTTTTGACCTTTAGACATTATCCTACTTTGAATTTTTTTTTTAATACGTCAGAAATGTCCGTTATCCAATCAAAAGTATGGAATTAAGTGATATGATTGAATATATGAATTAATTAAATACATTTGCTTTTTACGAAGAATTAAAAAAAAAAAATTATATCATAATTATAATTATATAATTTTTAATACAGAAATTTGATCTAAATATATTTCGGGAATGTGTGATGTGCATAGATTGCGGATTTATTATTCATAAAAAGTGTTTACAAAAACGCATTCTTTTAGCTCACAATCCGTAAAGTATTATTTTAATACTAGTTAGGGTTTCTAAGTTTTGTTACCAAACATTCTATACATATTACAGAATTTAAAGCGTAAATGACTAAATTAACGAAAGCTTACACGCGAAGGGAGGGAAAATTCGGGCATTAAATTACATATCGTAGTAGTTTTATTCGTCTTTCTTTACAAATAACGCAATAAAGTTTTTTATTTCCTAAAGCGTTTAGATGTATCATATCGTACCACGAGAAAATGTCGCAATTACGCAGTTGACCTGATTGGATTGCACAATTCGCGATAGTAAAATCGCGATAAACGCTGCATTCAAGAACACACAGAGAATTTAATGTAGATGGATAGTGACTGAAACAGAATTGTTTCTTTTTTCGTTATTTTGCAATCGATTGTACAAAACATCTTGACCGTGGTGAGGTGAAACACTGCGGACAAAAATAATATGGCTATTTTAGTGTTCAAAACAGTGCACGTCAGAGCGATCTATGTACTCTGAACTTTAGAATACTCGTGCACACATCGATAATCCCCAAAGTGGAATCGAAACGATGATTATGCTCACTGAATATTTACTTCCAATGAAAAAAGCAAACCACCTTATACCCTAGTGCAATGCAGAATTACATGATACTGCAGTATGTACATACAGAGTATCCCATAAGATGCACCGTCAAACCAAAAATATTTCAACTAAAAACAAAACAATTCTTGATGCTTTTACGTGACCATTTTTGTTGATTATATTTCTGATTACTAAAAGGGGAAGATCAGATGCATCCTTAATAAACTTAAACACTTCTCTCTCTCTGTGTGTATTTTTTTTACAATATATATATATATATATATCAATTGCATTATTAAATAAAAGTATCAATATTTTCTACTATTCTCGTACTACTATAAAACATTTAATTTATACTAACGTCTTTATTAAATAAATCTTATAAATGTTTTATGACAATGCCTAGTAAAATTACAATTCAACCATTCCTTTGGAAATTGGGTACATACTTCAATTCGAATCTAACTTGATTTACATGATTTTAGTAAAAATTAATGCAATACCACTCATTACCAGTAATTAAGTTTATTAGGCATGCATTCAACATAATCATCAATGACTTTCAGTGATTAATGATCATGTGATAACACTAAGAATTGCTTCACTTTTTTGATTTAGAACTATCTTATTTTTCGGATATATCACATCCTATGAAAAACGCTGCATACAAATGCATATACTTTTGCTTCAGTATTCCTTTGAACTTTATCGATAACGATTTTGAAAATTAACTGTTACTGGAATCTAGTACATTGTTAGTATCGTTTCCGGAGGAGGTAGAACTCCGTGATTGTTTTAAGCTA